TAATTTGACCTCCTACATTATTCATCGCTTTATTTATTACGTGATGACAGGCTGCGTCGACGTCGTCGAGGTAGGAGTTGGGATGTAATATCATTACTGCTTATGACACTGGGACAGAAAACATTGTAATCGCAAATATTTTGAAAATGAGAAACAGAGTGTTTTTGATGTTATGTGACATCGACATCCGTCGTTATGTCTGTCGGTCTGTCCTGTAATCCTCTATTATTTGGAAAGTACTGCTCAAATTTGGATGAAATTTTTACATAAGGGTGCTACTACGCTAACGATGGCGTATTTTTGAAAATCGGCTGCGGCGGAAAAACGAAAACTGGCCAAATGTTTGACGTTTCAGCAGATCCTGGTCATTTTTTAAACAAATTTGAGGGAAAACATTGAGGGGCTGGGGAGGGTACATCTTAATTTTGTGATAATAGTATAGATAAGCTATCAACTTCGGTAATTCTACGTACTTAGCCATATTTCACACATCATCGAAGTCGCCGTACATTTTTGGTGTACTGTTCACCCGATGACGATTGAAGACCACATCGATCGAAACATCGTGAATCAAAAAACATTATAAACAATAGAAATCCAAGAAGCAACATCTCAATCATTCATGTTTTCATAAAATTTCAAACACCATTGGATGCAAAATAAAAGATAAGTGCTGTGTAGAGGCTCTAGGCGAAACTAAATATGAAATTTGGCCCCAAAGGTATCCAAATGTGGCAATCCAGATTAATGTATATTTGATTAAATCACCTCAGCCAACTTTTCAGATTGAAGATATCCCCTAGGGTAGCCAATGAACTCAAAAGCTTCGTGAATTCTATTTAAAAAAAGTTAAAAAGAACACCGATGTTCTACATAATCATTATTTTTTATAGATTTGTGGAATGTATAGGTTTGATAAAAAAATGTTTGATATTTTTTTCGAGTTATTAGTTAGGTAATGGAAATTTAGGAGAATCCACTGTAGATCATGCTTGCCTGCGTTATTTTTCGATCCACGAGCAAAAACATGAAAATCTAAAAAACCGCATTTTTACCGATTTTTACGATGTTAGACATTTTTGAAGTGGGATATCATTACGTCGCTAACTCAAAAAACTTAGTCCATGCATATGTGCATTTTTGATTCAGCCAAGCGTTTTTTTACTAACCTAAAACATCAAAAATTGATGAAATCAGCGAAAGTACGGTTTGTCACTTTTTCACAATTTTCCGGACCATGATTCACAATTTCGACAATGGAACCTGCAGAAATACACAAAAATTTTGAGTCAGCCAAGTCTTAATCCTAAAATATCAGAATTCCAGA